CCCCAAAACCCCAAAACCCCAAAACCCCTGGATTTTAAATTTTATAAATTACTCAAATCATCAAATACTAATTGAAATATTATCAAAATATAAAATAATTTATTATATCCTCTATTATTCAAAATTGTTGCGACTTTTGCTTATCATATCAATATTTTCAAATGTTCAAGTTGTTATTGATATCTGTGACTGACATCTCGCTCATTCCATATCCAGCCACGCTGCCCAAGTTGTTACCGCCATTTATTACAGAATTTTTCTCTCTTTTTTTCTTGCTAATCTCCTTAAGCAGCTGTTTGTTAATTCTTAGCTCCTCAGTAGTCATAGGCACATTGATGTTCTAGCCCTTGCCTTTGCGCTTGGTCACTGACACTATTGAAGGCACTCCATTTTCACATGGCACTTCGCCCATTTACTGTAACAAAAAGTCTTGCACTTCTCTCTTCTTTTACTTATTCATTTCTTCCTTAGCTCTACGCTCTTAAGCATCCTTCTCGCTTAAATCGATCCATTTCTTCATGTAATCATCATTCACATAGCTTTCATGCTGCTTTTATTGCTTTTTCTCTATAACCTACTGATCAAGTCTCTCTCTGATCTCTAGCTACCGTTTTCTCATAGCGTCCTTGCGCTTTTACTCATCCAATTTATCTCTTTCCTCTTTTTCTGTCTAATATTTCATAACTCGACGCTCTATCTCCCTTTCCTGCTCGTTACTTCTCTTAACTACTGTATCAGCCATTTTATTCATTAGTGACTAGATTCTGTTTTCTCTTTAAGCCCACTCCTAAGCTCTTTTCTAGTCCTAGAGCTCTAGCAATTTATTATACTCTTCCATTTGCTTATTATCTCTTTCCCTCTCTATATCTTTTTGCTAAAGTTGCTTTTATTTATATTCCTGGTTTTCATTAATAACTTTCCAGGCATTGTCTCTTTCATTTTTCTTTTTCTCCATTTTCATCTGTTTTTCTTACTCTATTTCTTGTTTTAGCTTGTTCATTATTTCTAACTCATTTTCTCTTTGACTCTAAAAGTCTGTGCTCTTCTTTTGTTAAGCCATTTATAGTTAAACGTCTCTCATATTCTTTTGTTCATATATCTTATTTTTCAATGCTAATAGTTTTTTCTGTTACTCTTCTTCCTATTATTTAGCATTAGCTAGTAATACCTAATCGAATCTTTTCTTGTCTTCTATTTCTTGCTTTATTCTTTAGTTTCTTTCCTTCAATTACTTGTCAAGAGTTTCTTTGATCATTTTCCTTTTGCTTAAGAAGTCTTCCTTCTATTTTTGCTTATCCTCTTCAAATCTCTCTCTCTCAAATTTAATGATCTCATGCCATTCATCTCCAGACAGATCTGATGCAATAGAATCTAATTCTAATTCTCTTTTGCCTCCATTAAATCTGTTCTCGCTAGGTCTTATTTTCAAATCAGCAAAACTTTTAGAAGTCTCAGAGATTTTGTTCTTTCTGGTGACTGGGAATTATGAGTAGGAGTTACGGATGTTTGGGTGAGCAGGCAACTCCCTTTGATGGAGTCTGGACGAATTTATAGTGTTGTGGTTAAGTTGGGAATTGCTAGCCATATTCAAGTAGGGCTTCTCTTGAATTCTATCAACTATTGTTGACAAATTAGATTGACTCTGCCTTAATTCATTTTACACACCATAAGGTGAGTTATCTGCTCTGCTTTCTATTAGAGAACCCATCTATCTCTATTGACTTTTAATTAAATTGTTCAATCTATTTTTCTACTTCTCCAGACCTCTCTTTTCCCCTTAGTAGTCACGCTCTGGTGTTATTGTAGTCTATCCTATCATTGGTAGTTTTAGATTGCCTTGTGAAACAGTATTACTCTCAAACAAGTTGTTACCAGTTCTCTCTATTACTATTGCTGAGGCATCTCTTCTTTGCTGAATACTCATAAGAGACTAATCCTGATTTAGTCTTTAAACAGGTTCTGCATTTGAATCTAATAATTGACTTATTCTTGAATCTTTTCCCAAAGTTATTTCAAGCTATTGCTCAAACTATTTCAGATTTTTCTATGTTAATTGCTCCTTATCCAAAAATTTTTCTATTTCCGCAGCAACAATGTTTGATATTATGATTGAAGTCTGAGCAGAATTCTTTGATAATTATAACTTAGAACTGTACTTTTTAATGAAGTTCTGCACTAAGAGCTCCTTCAAATAGGTCTTCTATCTTTACTTTGCGTTATTTTTTAAACTTAACTATTTTTCCTTCTTGTTAATCGGCTCTCTTAAGTTCAGAGTGTGAAATGTGGCTGATTACATCTTTGCCTCTAGATTATTTTATTTATCTTATTTATAAAAATCTAATAAATCACAAGTTATACACAGACGGGGTTTTGGGGTTTTGGGGTTTTGGGGTTTTGGGG